TTGATGAGACCTTTACTTTATGTGACAGCTGTCAAACTCGTTTATCTCGGCAATCATTCATGCTAGACTATCAGTTTGTTCTAGAAAGTTGTAGGTCTTGATGAGACCTTTTCTTTATGTGACAGCTGTCAAACTCATTTATCTCGGCAATCATTCATGCTAGACTATCAGTTTGTTCGGGAAAGTTGCCTTGATGAGACCTTTACTTTATGTGACACCTGTCAAACTCGTTTATCTCGGCAATCATTCAAGCTAGACTATCAGTTTGTTCGGGAAAGTTGTAGACCTTGATAAGACCTTTATTTTATGTGACAGCTGTCAAACTAAAATTCGTTTGTCTAGGTAATCATTCAAGCTAGACTATCAGATTGTGTGGGAAAGTTGTAGGCCTTGTTGACATCTTCATTTTATGTGACAGCTGTCAAACTAAAAACTCGTTTATCTCGATAATTATTCATGCTAGAATCATTTTGTTTGGGAAAGTTGTAGGTTTTGATGAGACCTTTATTTTATGTGAACAATCAGAAAAAGATCTTATAATGTACAACTTCAGTATAGGTCAGAACACAGTTTGAACCAGTGTTTCATTACCACAAATACAACCGCAGTTGGGTCAAGTCAAGTCAATAAATACATTGCAATGTACAGTACAGTGTTTTGTCGTGACAAATCGCAAAGATTTTTCTAGCTGTTGTTAAGACAAAACAGTTTTATTGAAGTATCTCTGTATGTCATATGATATTAGTATATTTTTTTTAATGGCGATAAAGATCTTGACACGTAAAATCTATATAATTTAATTTTATTTCCAATATCTACGAAAATCATATAGAAACCATACAAAAACAAAAAAAAATGTTTTTGTGTCCGTTCTCAAAACTTGAAATTTGAAGTTACAGTCTAATGTTTTGACACGGCAGAAGTGCCTAGTTTGCTTGTAGGTAAGCACAAAATAACATTTGTGTGAGTGATTCTACTTAATGACTTATTTACTGCATTAATTAAACAATTATAATTCAGTGTAGTATTAAAATCCTGTTCTCCAATCAAGATTACACAGAAATCTTCAAGTGTGTAATTTTGCACTAATAATTCCAAACCATTTATTAACTCTAACACTCCGCAATTTGGTTTGAGGTGGTGACAAAATTCAAAGTTATTTTTAAAAGTCTCTTCTATAATCGGTAATAGTTTTAAGTGTCTGATCGTACTAAGTATGCACATCCTGTTCCTATAGCAAAAAGGTTCCATCGTAGAGGCTTCAGTGAAAGTTGCTCTTGAGTCATCATCACTTTTAGAAAAAGTTGTGCTGAAATCTACATCAATAGTCGTCAAAAATTCTTCTTTGTCATCCACTTGGTTCTGAATTCTCACGTCAGTTAAATACCGTAGCTCTCTAAGTGTATTATTTAACTGACTTTGCAAATATGTAATTTGTTTTACAATGGAGTCAAGTTTCTCATTGGAAGCACCCGCAGAAATAGTTGTTTTTATGTCAAAGTTCTGTTTAGGGGATGAAGTAAAAACTTGGTTGTTAAGGTTCAACTTGACTTGATCGAGAGCACTCATATTAAACTGAAAATTGCTGCATCTAGCTTTCTTTGTAGTCGATTTTGGGGTGGACTCACATATTTGGGTCAGCGTTTTAATTTTGGCCTCATATTGTGAAACTAATTTTTCTAAGTGGGCGTTTTTGTGTAAATATTGGTCAATTAGTTTATTAGCATTTGCCAGTTTATTTTCAGTTTCCTTTAATTTTTGGCTTAATTCATTAATCTCTTCATATAAGTTTTGGGTTTCTCTTGGCTGTGGGCAACTTCTATTTAGTTGCAACTTATTAAAGTCATGTAGTCGTGCATTATTTGGTTCTAACATAAGCGATTCAAATGAGTTGAACGTTGATATATTCACAATGACTTCCTGAGCAATAGGTGAGCTTTCCGGGTTAATTTTTGACTGCTCTAATGAATGAAACATTGACTCGTTTTCAACAAGTTCCTGAGCATCATGTAAGCAATCCGCTTTATTTTGTAACCGTACTAAGCCCAGCATTTGTGTGTCAGCTAGCTGAGATGTCGTCTCTCCCTCTTTCGGGGTATCCTTTGTGGTTTTACTGAGCTTGATAGGCGTTTTTTTCTTCTTTTTATCTGGTAGTGTAGGTGTGTTACGCGCATTTTTTTGAATATTTTTCACGCACGTATTACAACTCCAACAGAGTCTCTTATCATTTTTAAGATCACTTCGCATGAGATCATAACGTCTCAAAGTCACGTTTGCACACTCTAAATCAAAAGTATTTTCGCATACGCAACATGTTAGAAAATCATTCCTCTTAACTTTTATGTTACATTTCGAACATTTCTTGTATTTGGGAGCCATATTAAAGCCACAAAATAACTTGTTTGTAGATAGCGTATACGCCTAGAATAATTGAGAATGCAAACAGTAATGTCTCCAAGTAAGATCTGCTTCCATATAAATCACAGTGAAATTGCCCTTCAAAAGTCTCAGGCGCTATTGTCGGCTATCCAATCTATTCGTAACTAATTGGGGTCCAAAGTCCAGATCCTTTGTTATGTTATCGTTTAGAGTACGTTATTTACTTTTATTTGAAATTATCACTTGTCTAAACGTGTGTCTCAATTAGATTTTAATGCAGGTCCACTTCGCACTACTCTTAAATTGTTAATGTTTACTTAAGCACTCTGGTTGAATAGTATATCGTCCAAAAAAGGTCTCACCATAAATCACTCGATATTTTTTCCATTTCTCATGGGAAAACGCCACAAACACTAACACAGCCGAATCGTCGGTCAACTTATTGAATTATTACCACAGTCTATCAGAAATAGAGACAATAATAATTTTAACTTTATTTTACACACAGAGACGATGTTGATTGCAACTAAGCGCCTGACGATAATGAACGACATTTCGGTCACCCATCCTTTTGGTTATTTAACTGTTCATGCTCATAATTCTTGCGGGGTAGACAAATGATAGAAATGGTATTGTTTCATGGTAAAGTTTATCGTTTGAAATAATTTGATAAAGCTCGATTTGCATATAAATTTATAAATTAAATCAACAATAAGATAATAGTTATTTGTTGTCAACCTTCTAGTACTACTAGTAACTTGCTTAGAAATAAAAATATAATGACACCTACAAAAATGGAAAGCTTTCTAGGGATGTGACAATTTAGCACATATCTTTGGTTCAAAAGAAAGAACGAATTTTAATTCTTTGGGGAATCGGGGAGACAGACTGACTATCTGACGTAGATTCCTTGTTCCAAGTAGATTCAGTAAAAAGTAAATTCAGAAAAGAAAAATTATTCCAAACACTTGGCCATAAAAGTAGCTTCCTTGTTTTGCAATACAAAATGCCTTATATTGGACAGCTAGTACATCTGGACGTGGAAAATCCAGCTTTCGCTCCTTTTTGTTACTTATATACGTATCTATTTTATTACACCTCTTTTGGTTTTGCAAATAAAATTAAGTCAAATTACTAAGGCATTATATCTTTTGTAACTTTGATTGTAAATGTAAATTCAGGCACTAGTTTGGGAATAATATAAGGCGGAGGGTGTCCAGTCAGGCTAAGCCGAAACCCACGGTTTGTGTTTGATAGAATATTTTCAGAGAGAGGAAAACTTAAAACCAACCACCTCTTAAAATAAAACTACGTCTGAAAATACAAGCACACTGGTGAACAATTTCATAAAATAAGCCAGAGAGCGGGGCGGGGCTCCAACCTTAAGCCTTACCAATAAAATACTCAAGTACTAGCGACATAGTGACTTCTAAGTAGAATTGATTCGGCAGCGCTTTACTTAACTTTATTTTATGTTGTTCTGTGCTAGTTGCGCCTTGACTTGAAGTACCTTTACTTACATATATTCTAACGGTGCTGCTTATTGATTTATTTATTGTTGTATAGTTTTCTTATGAAGCTATGTTAAGCGGATTATTCTTCTGAATAGTGGTTAGATTAGTTAGGACACACCATTCCTTATCAGCAAAGAAGTTTGGGTTACTGCTTATGCACAACGTAGGGTTGACGATCACCTGGCCGATTCATAAACCTCAGTGAACCCAATTCTGGTAACCATGCTAAGTAGGTTTTTATCTATTCGGATTCTGAGTTCGCATTTGTAGGTAGGTAAGTAAAAAAAAAAAAAAAAAATTGGGGTAGGTTAGGTGAGGGACATTACACCACGCAAAGGTTCCGGGTTCAATTCCCGGTGGGGTCACTCACAAAGTTGATATTTATCACTTTGTGAATTTGTTCCCGGTCTGGTTAGGACATTGCAGGCTGAACCACCTGATTGTGCGCAAGTAAGATGGTTCCGTGCTTCGGATGGGCACGTTAAGCCGTCGGTCCCGGTTGCTGTCCATGATGGCGGTCGTTACACAACCATGTCAGAGGCTTGCTACTTGCAGTAGGCGGTTGAAAAACTCTGAAACCAGGGTTCATCGGGTCGTTGAACGACTCGGTGTCCCACACGAAAAGAAGAAGAAGAAGATATTTCTTAATTGTTTATTTTTGTAGTAGTGTCGGCTAAGAATAGCGTCACCCCATAACTTTCTCATGGGTGTCGTAAGAATATTTAAGTGTTGATGAGTATTGCAATTTTAGGCGACAGGCTGACAACCTGCCACAATGGTGATACACAGTCTTCTGAATGACTCTCAAACTTTTGTCATACGTGGCGTAAATAGCCGTTTTTTACAGCTGTTTATGCTTTGCCTACCTCAAAAGGGATGTTAGGCGTGACATTGTTATGTATTGTTTATTTTTGTTATTTCGTGTTTTTCTGCTGCAGCACTTAAAATTTCGTAAAAGAGACTATGTCGATCGTTTCGTAATGGTAGTACTTACGAGTAGTGGACAAGCAATAAGTTGTCTGTAGTCGTGACTGAAATACAAATCGTGTTTCTGAACGAATATCGCATTTATTTAAAGATGCTCACTGACTGTACGATACGACAGCCGATGTGGCACAATGGTTGTGTGACTGTCTGCGACACTGAAGGTTTCGGGTTCGATTCCCGGTGGGTCACGTCACTAAGATGATATTTATCACTTTGGAGATTGGTCCCCAGTCTGGTTACGAAATTGAAGGCTGAACCACCCGATTGTCAATTGTGATTTTCATGGTTATAGGTTTCTCTCTTGTCTTTTACCCTCGACTATCCAGTTGTGACCTTTTAAACTATTTTAATAACTATTATCACAAAAGCAAGCAATCAAGATTTTGTTTGAAAGCTATAAATGGTTATAAATATCTATAAAAGATGTCAATAATAAAAAACTTTGCCAGAATTTGTTCTGTTTGGCATTAAAATGAAATGAATGTGTCCATCCAAAAGAAAGTCGAGACTTAAGAATTTTCGTGCCAATAATTTCTTTGAGGAAAATACTGCCTGGACTGAATACAAAATGAAATTCGTTGTCTTCTGATAAGTCTTGTGAATTGAAAAAAAGCGACTATCAGCTGTTATTGATAAGTACAGCTTCGTGGGCGTGGGCCTGAATACAAAGTAGGCAAGAGCTTTAAATTTTAAAAAGTAATAATAATTTTTAAAATGTTTTGAAGTCCAGCAATTGAAAATGGTATTTATGAAAAAAAAAGCGGCCAAGAGCGTGTCGGACACGCTCACAAATAGGGTTTCGTAGTCAACGTTTAAATATCAGGCCTTTCAGCGTTACAAAGTTAATTTAGTTGCTGGTTTGTTTGCAGCTTTATGGTTACCAATTGAAAACCTTTAATATTTTCTTAATCTTAAGTGGTACAGTATTCGTTATAGTTTTCATGGTAACTTCATATTAAGAACCATATTCCATATTATTTTCAAATTTTTAGCATGCATACTTTAGAAGTTACAGCTGGAACAAATCATGTCGATAGCTCCAAAACTGACGAAGTTATGAGGGCGCTGCATACAGACAGACAGACAGACAGACTTACTGAAATGATAAGGGTTTCTAGTAGACTACGAAACCCTAAAAAAGTAGTTTTGATTTTGATTTTAAGCTTTGATTCTGAAAGACTTCAGATGTGTTCAATCATACATAATTTATAAAAACAAGTGAAGATTTTTAACATACACAGGTTTAGAGAAAATCGGAGTCACGCGGTCGCAAACTAAGGCGGCTGATTCAATAAAAAAGGGATCATAAATGGCGGCCGATAGATTACATGCAAATAATACAATAGTATTTCCGATACATTTTACCTTGATAAAATGGTCATATAGCATGAATTCGCTCGTTGTGGAAGAGTTTAATCACCAACCTGTCACGACACGAACAGACTGACATAACACTGCATGCATGTGTTAGTGCACAATTAGCAGGCAGTTTATACGCGGTTATTCCACTGTGTTCCACGTTTATTTTTTAGAATAGCATCACCCCATCTTTTCCCACCTGTGTAATGTAACGCGACTAAGGGATTACGAATACGACAAATAATCAAAATCAAATACGACATCTAAACATGCATGTACCAGTCTCCAATTCCACCTTTATTTGTAGAGCGTGCGGAAAGTCATTCCGCTCCCGTATCGGGTTAGACAGCCATGAAAAATTTTGCCTCAGACACTGAATAAATTGTCTGTCACAGACGTATGAGGCCAATGATGATGAAGGGATTACAGGGTTTCTTTATTTGTTACAATTTTACCCGGCAGGCTGACAACCCGTCACTAAAATGATATTCGATTTTCCTAATATGTCCCTCAAATATTTCAAACGTGGCGACAGTGATCTTTTTTTACGGCCGTAAACGCTCTGATTATGAGTGAAACCACCCTAAAGAAGAAGATGACCTTATAGTTCGTACAAAAAACTAAACTTGACTCAGCCCTAGCCACACATTTCACTTGTGGCACAAAAATAACACTGATTAACAGTATAACAACATGTAGATAAAATGTAATATAAATCCTCTAATACCTTGCGTTCGAAGTCGCGGGCACCAGCTAGTTAGTGTTACAAATGCGTGTAGCGTAATGAAATGTTTAACGTAATGCATAGTATCGATCGAACCATACGTAATGAATGACAATAATAAGCGTAATGGAATCATTGCAGTGAGCGTTGTAGAGCGACCTGTATATCGTGTCGTGATGGAGACAGGTTGCAGGTCTATCAGATGCAAGCGATACCCCGTTTTGGTCTACAGGGTGTACCTATTTAGGTACTGAGGCAAGAATCCCACCTTTTTTATTTTTGAGAAGTTCCAGTATTTTCATAGAAGGGAGTTCAAGGCCTGGAAATGGACTCTTTTTGCTAATAAGGTGTAAAAAATTCAACTGTTTATGATCCGCTTTTCTTTTGTAATTATTTAGATCCGTCATTGGGGACGTTCCCAAGGAGGGTTGACGTCTGGTAGGCGGCCGGTCGTAAAATTCAGCCAAATCCTTTTGAAACACCATTTTTTTTTTTCAATGAAACGTGTTGCGCCGACCCCAAGTAATTGGGATAAGGGCAGGAAGATGATGGTGTTTTGGACGTTGGGGAATCATCGGGACATGCCAATATCACCATCATAGGGGTCCATCTTAAATTCATATTCAGAGGACAGCAGGTAGAAACCTTCACGGGCTTACTACGATAGTACTGAATTCAGCACCTTTTGCTCATTAATACACCCTGAACATGGATATGAAATCATTATGTACTGTAAAAATTCATCAATGTCATACTCAGACCGACCGACCGTTAATGTGTTTTTACCCGACTGGCTCAGGAGGGTTATGAGTGCATATGTATGTAAACAAGAAATTCGTTTTCACAGGCTACAGCCCAAATGGATGGGCGGATCTTGGCATGTGAGGTATCGTTAGATTCATAAAGTTTGAATCTATTATGATGATGCATTAAACATCTGCTTTGTTTCTACGATTCCCCAGTTTATATACCCGATAATAAAGATTACAATTTATGGTGCCTGTGCTTAAAATAGACGCAAACGTCCTTTAAGAACTACCGCGGGAAATGGGAAATTAGCTTATTTTTCTAGTAAGTAGGTGTCATACCTACCTAATCGTAGGAAAATACACAAAACTAAGGGCAAAATATTGGGACAATACCTTACTGTGTTTGAGTAGGTATTGTGTAGACTGGACCATCATTGTGTGACCGTATGAGATTGAGATTCCGGATTGTACACTATGATAAGATAAGTAACTATAGGAATAGAATTATGCGGTAGATATGTCTTTGTTTACAATTTATTCAATACCTATTCGTCCCTACCTTACTGTAAATGTGTTGCTTTTGCTACGGCGTAGGCGGGTCGCGTAGCACTCGTAGCATTTTGCTACGATTTGGATACTCAGTCACAGAGAGAGGGATAGTGGGAGTTAAAAAAATGCATTTCAGGTATTCATAATACACTGACAGCCTGAACAATTTTTTAAATTGAAAAGCTTTGTAGATCTACAGAGTTCTTTGCTATTGAATTCGCTACAAAAGAGCAACCAGCCCACATTCAACAGTTGAAACCGACACAAACAGTAATCTCTTCCTAGTGTCGGATACCAAATTACTTCCCATACAGTAGACGAGGTAAGTGAAAAGTAAAAAAAAGAGTCAAGAGCGAGTCCAACATAACCACTAAAGATGAGCTTTTGAACACCTAAAAAGTTTTGATCGCATACGACAGCATAATGACTTTTGATTTTTAGACTTTGGACATGAATGTAATATAGCAGGTAGTGTGGCAGGCTCTGCCCACTGAATCTTGCATGACTGTCCAAATTGACTTGTCTTTGGTAAAATCAAAAATTCTTGAAATATATATGAGAGGCCAGGAAAAGTCGTCTCTTTGCTATACAGGGTGTAAGGGACAGCTCTCCTAATACTGACAGGGTGCATTCAGACCATGATATTGAACTGCTTTCTATAATAAAATATTTCAGGAGACGTAAAAAAATTGACTTCCCATACAAAATAGCGATAAGTGCTATCAGAATTTAACGTGAGAAGTATTTATTTTTACATTTCCTGGAATATTTTCTGAAAGGAAGTTGTTCAGTTTTATGGTCCGAATGCACCCTATTAGTTTTGGGAGAGCTGTCCCTTACTCCCAGTATAATATGATACAGCACGGTCGTTATTTTTATTTTATCTTATAGCCTGCGGAGTGAGTAAAGGCAACGCAAAAACAGCAAAAAGTGTTATTTCGCTGCGTACTCCTAAAACGAGTCAGATTGGTCCCAAATTGCGGGTGATATTTCACCAGGTGGAGGCAGCATCTGGACGCCGAGAATGAAACACATTTCGACTTTTTGGGGGGATATTAAAAAGATTGTGTAACTTCCCAAGGGACCACTAATGGCAAGGCACGTGTTTTGTTTTGATTCTTCCGTATAACCATTTAGAGTACTTGGTTGACCGAGATTCCTCGGTATTTCCGGGATACAATTTTTGCTCGTTTAAAAGTATAAGATATTAAATGATTAGACATTCGACAGCAGATGTGGCGCAGTATTTAGTATGACAGCCTGCCACGCAGAAGGTTCCGGGTTCAATTCCCGGTGGGGTCACTCACAAAGTTGATATTTATCACTTTGTGAATTTGTTCCCAGTCTGGTAAGGACATTGCAGGCTGAACCACGTGATTGTCCAAAAAGAAAGATGGTTCCGTGCTTCAGATGGAAACGTTAAGCCGTCGGTCCCGGTTGCTGTCTATGATGGCGGTCATTACACAACCATGTCAGAGGCCTGCTACTTGCAGTAGGCGGTTGAAAAACTCTGACACCAGGGTTCATCGGGTCGTTGAACGACTCGGTGTCCCACTCGAAGAGAGAAAGAGATTAAATGATTGTGTAACTTCCTTAGGGACTCCTAATGGCAAAGCACGTGTTATATTTGAATTTTTCCGTATAACCATTAATTAAAATTCAAATTCATACATGACTGAAACGATGTGAGCACTGATCAATCTGTACGGAACCCTGCCCAAAAATTAATTTGTATCTTTTATAAACAAATATTTTGTGTTGATTCTAATAGATCACTGATAATATGAAATATGGAAATGGTTACGTT